GAACACAAATGGGTAATAATCAAATCATCATAAGTAAAACCGGTTCCAAAAATAAAACTTAATGAAACGATGAAACATATATCCTGGATAGAACTTTGCTTGAAATTACGTTCCTCATCGCAATCAATGTCAAAACGCCAAAAATCAATTTGGAAAAAAATACAAAGTACAAGACAACAAAAGAGAAAATTCTAAATTGAATTCTTGATTGTCTGAAGAAAAAGAAAGTGGAACAAGAAAATATTTTCATAAAATAAACTCCTCAAATGTAATGAAAAACAGTTTTACAGGCAATTAAATGCAACCAATGTCAGTGATGAGAAAAGACCAACCATGGATTGCAGGTTTTGAAAACAGTTGTGGTCTTTACCCGGCAAAGGTAACCACGAGGAACCATGGGTAGATGATAACAATATTGTACATGATAAGATAAGGTCACCGTTGATGTGTTTCGTTACACCCGATTGCCTAAAAAATATAATTAAAAAGGGCCTGATGGTATTAGAAACCGGTATTGGAAACGGTTTCCTTGTATCCAAACACCATTTCTTAACTATTTAAATTCTCTTTTGGATACAGGATGTTCTTCCTTGGTTGTGCAAAAGTCGAACAATAGTTCTCGCAAAGAAACATGATTTGACATTTGACTGATCCCCAACCTCCTTTACAGACCCGTGAAGATTCCGGGGTAGAATGGGTTTTCAGCAACCCATACTTGACGTAAAAGGCGACTATGCTCGTCGTAAGAGACGACTAACTTGGCTGACTTGGTTGATACATGTCATCGATCCCAATTGCGTTGATCGATGCTCATAATGTCAATCACTGGATTGTCTGGTCCAGACTCGATTATTTACAGACCGCCGTCAAATGGCTGGAATATTGCTGAGTGCGGCGTTAAACAACAAACAAACACCTCCTTTACATGAACGATCTTGAACTTATTGCCAATGGAGAATCCACTCTAAAACCAGATTATCATTGTCGAGTCCTTTTCTATTGGTATGTCCTTTGGACTTGAAAAATGCAAGATTCTTCATCTGAAAAGTAGAGACCGCCTCCACGGTCTAATGGTAGAGCGGAAGGTCCGGGGTTCCATCCCCAGCCGCGTCATACCAAAAGACGTTAAAAGATGGTACTTGTTGTTACGCTGTCTGGCGCTCGGCATTAAGGTGATAAAACAAGGACTGGTCGGATCGGAGTCAGTATTCTGTGTCTGAGTGGGGTATTCATGTTAAACTGCGGCATGGTATCTCAGTGTGCTAGCACTATAAATCGGCATCAGCCCGGACTAGTACAAGCAGCCACATACACACATACACGTGCATGCACGTCGCTATATAAGTACAATAATCTTGGACGCGACGTTAAACCCCATTTCACCTCATCTCATCTGAAAAGTGGAAAGGCAGAAGGATCAGTCAGGATATTGGTGTTGTTGATTGGACGAAACAAGATATCCAGGGTATTGACAGACTCACACAAAAAACATGTCAGACAATAGATCCCACCACTCTCGCTCTTCCCTTAATCGCTTATATTTAACAATAATAACGGGGGGTGATTTCATTAAAAATGGTGATAGGACTGTATGGTGCACTTTTGCACACATTTATTTGTCTGATGAGCCTCTTGTGAAGCATGTTCAGACACATGATGAAAACAAGGCATTCCACAGTTTTCTTAAACGATCCAAGGATGTGGGAAATAATCTCAATGTCAGTGTTGATTTTGTTGATGGTTCTGTACTGCTGGACGGTCCAGGAATGAGTGTCAACCAAGCGGATCCTCATATCAAATCAGCCCAGACTCAGTTTTTCAAGGAGAAACTATATGAACGACCACTGCATAGAGTTTATGCACAGTGTGTTGAGAAGAAAAGCAACCCCGCAGAGTCCTTCGCGTGGATGAAGTCGGCTGGCTTGAAAAGGGATACAGAAGGCTTTCTGTTTACTGCTCAGGACAAATCACTTCCCACTCGAAAACGTCAATGTGTGATTTTGCATCAAAATGAAACTATGAAATGTAGATTATGCAATGAATTTAATGAGACTGACCAACACATTGTTAGTGGCACAAACACAGTATCTTAAGCGACATGATGCAGTGGCATCTTTTATCACCGTCTTCGCCATGCTTGTGGTTTTGACTCAGAGGTTCATCCATATGAAGATGGCATGATGGAAAATGAAAACTTGTGCTTTTTTTTAATAAATCCAATGAAATCATTTACATCATTGACCCTGTCCCTAATTATGTGATTGACAAGATTCAGGAAGAACATGGCAAATATGTGAACCTCTCTTTCGAAATGTCACGATGGCATCCCAAGTTCTTGGTGCCTTGGTGCCTGACATTGGGAGAGTACCCGGGTTTACTGCCAGGAAGACATACAGTCCCTCTGACAATCTGGGTAACACAGAAGGCTGAAGTGTTGGGGAGTCTTCACATTCCCCGAAAAGTTCTGGGTGAGTTCGACTCGGCAGCACTTCCTGGGAGAAGTGCCATTCGCTGTCTGGGCTGCGTGTAGAGGGGTCAAGGGTCCAGAGCTGATGATGAGCCAAGCAAGCCTGACTGAGCCAGGATCACACAAACCCTCTTTGTTGCATTTTAAAATTTTAATCTGTAAATAATAATAATAATAATAATAATAATAATAATAATAATAATAATAGATAAATAATGGTTACAAGTGATTGTTCATGATGAGAATGTTTCGTATGTGTAATGTTTCATGTATATAACAATTCGAAGATTTGACGTTGGGCCCAGGTGATCTAATCTTTTGATATTTAACTATTTAATATGTTCAAACATATTTGGTTTTACAACATATTTGTTAACTAGTGACAGACATTCGAGAACACCATGCTGAACTGAGACGCCACTATCAGTATGTGCGCCCCTCTGTGATGAAGTGAAATGCGTTCCCTTGGCCTTTCGTGTGTGCACTTCTTACAAAATATTTTTCAGTCATCTACATATTAATTATCCTTTTTGATGGACCATATATGCGCAAACATAACCCTGAAAAAATATATTGTGTATTAACTCATTTCGTTCTACCAAGAATCTACTACCAAACTAAAAGTATGCTTAATGGATCGGTTAAAACGCCGGTTAAGGAACTTATATTCATACAAATAAAGTCTGACTATTAGTCCTAGTGTTGATTTATTAAATTCATAATTTCACATAATTTCTTCCAGGCCAAGGTAGCAGAATGCTTATTTATTAATTGTGGACTGACTTCGGGTTGTGACGCCACTAGCTATATTATTTGTCATCAAAATACTCTCTCATCAATGTAAACATTTCTATGTTATCTAGCATTGTCTAATTAAAGTGAATTCAATTTTGCGTTGGTCTAAGGGTGAAGACAATGGATCCAATGGTTAGAAAGTATATATTTGATGAGACAATATATTCACTAGTTTGTAAGTTGAGGTATGATCATATATCAATGGTTCTAAAGTTGATATATGATGAGACAATGGATCCAATTGTAAGTTAGTTGATATATGATGAGACAATGGATCCAATTGTAAGTAAGTTGATATATGATGAGACAATGGATCCAATGGTAAGTAAGTTGATATATGATGAGACAATGGATCCAATGGTAAGTAAGTTGATATATGATGAGACAATGGATCCAGTGGTAAGTAAGTTGATATATGATGAGACAATGGATCCAATTGTAAGTAAGTTGATATATGATGAGACAATGGATCCAATGGTAAGTAAGTTGATATATGATTGTATATCAAACCAATCTCCAGCCATCGGCTCCTACCAACATTATTTTCAATACTCGACGAATCGGACATACTTTATTATTTGCCATGAATTTTGTTTGTTTTGGTTTTCGATGCCTATTATAATATAAAAACAAAGCTTAACAGCTATTAGACGCATCAAACAAAATTAAACTTATCGAACATCTCAGAGATATAAAGAAGTATCCATTTGAAACTTAATTTCACATTTCACTCTTACAGTCGATGGTTTCAAACAGTAATACAACTCCTTCATGGTGACGAGAACACATGGCAGTTGGACTTTCTATGAATCTAATTGCGTTTGACAAACATTTTGTCAATAATTGCCTTTAAAGTTACATTTGATACACACAAACACGCTTTTATGTTTTTAAACTTGAGTACTGAATTGTATTCTTTAAAAACATATTAAGAAGGTAAAAATTAAAGGAGTGTGTAGAAAACTAAAAACGCCTTTATGAACATATAGAAATATTGAACAAACCATCAAATATGATATTTTTCTCATTTACTAAAAGCCAAAATGAAAGGAGAGTATGGTATTTTCTAAAACAGATTCTTAATATCGTCCTACCTGTTTCGGCCACTTAAACGTATTAAAAACATCGTCTGTAATCCGTAGTAACTCATACCATGCACACTTCTCGGTTTTCAATAATCATAACATTGTTTCATTTTGCCAAAAATCTGGTCCATGATTTATGTATTTCATTAGAGTGAGATTTGTTGCAGGTAGCGGTTATGCGCCCGACCCACGGACATATTGCTGCTGGCGGCATATGCTGGCCCCACCCCCGGGCTCGGGTTCCCTCGGAAATGGATTACCCCGTTACTGACCTAGTAATTACAAGCTCGCGGTCCAGACTCAGGGCAAAGTCTCTATCTCAAGACAGAGGAAACACCGTGTAAATTATCTCGCTAATAGTACAATAGAAATACACCATATGTTGGTGGAAACCGCATGTAAACAACTACCACGAGGCAGTTCCGTGTTTCTCTGTCTTAGCTCCACCCCTTCCAAGAGATAGACGGAAGAAATACACGAGTGTGTAGCTACCTGTCAACCGTTCGTTACCAACTAGTCTTATTATACCAACGCGACTGCGCAGACGCACGCGCTGAGACTAATGAACCAATGAGAATCGTTGATATTAACACCTATCTAATACGCGCTTATAACAATTTCAGTCCTATTGGCAGCCAGCATTTGGTAATTGACTAGTGACATGTCTGTTCATTAAAGTAATTACAAGTGAAGTATTTGACTTGTTAAGTCTGCGAATCTTTACGGAAGATCAAAAAAGGTTTGCATCAGTCATCACTTGTCAACAGCCATCGTTGTGGAAGGAAGACCAAACCGTTACCATGTTATCATCATTTCTGTCGAATACTTACAATTACCAGCATCCAGACAACTCGCATCTTTTCTTCCCAACTCCGCTCAACGTTCCCCAGTTCGCATACGGTAGACAGTCCATATTTCCCCCTTCGTCGACACCATCTTCATCAACAACACCGACGACACTAACGACGTCATCATCACCAACAGACGCCTGCAGCATGGAGGTGAAGCAAGAAGTTGAGGGAGACTCCATTCCTGTGGCAAACACGTCCTCCGCCACCATAAAGTTCTCCATAGATAATATCCTGGGTCTCAAGTCGGAGGCGGTCAAGAGGGACGGTGGCGGTGGCAACGTTCCACAACAACCCATGTGTGGAGACGAGGACGACAACGACGACAACCAAGGAGCTTTGGATGAAGAGTCTCCTAGATTCCCCTGGCTTCAGTGTACCCGTTACAAGCCACCAAAACTGCCAAGTAAGTCTATTATTCCTTTCTCAAATTATTTATTCTTAAATTTATAATTCTTTGAACTGCCTTCTTCTTTTTGTGACAGATGCGCGAATATAACACTGTACTGAACCAACACTAATATGGTTTCATAGTGATTCATTAACACATGCTCATGACATGTTCTGAATCATACAACCAACTCTGCTTTTGGCAGAGATTTCTTATGATTTCCTATGTGTTTCGCCGCTTCTATTTAGTTGATGTGTGCGAAAATATGTGGGAAATAATATTTTAGAGAAGCCAATCAATGAATTCATTCTGAGATTAAAATAGCATTAATTGCTATCTGTGAACATTCTAGCATCCGTGTTTTCGTTGTTGTAGAGATGGCTCCTTGTTTGGTTCGCGATGGGTTCCCGTCCGGCAATTTGACGTTTTAATTCATGTATAATCATTTCACTCTCTTCATTTTAACATTTTGCGAACACCTGGTGTCCTCACTGTTGATAGTGATTTATAGATAAAATATAAAACGTCAACGCCAAAGAATAATTAGCCTCGATTACCTGCCGAAACAGATTCCATGGGGCATAAAAGGCAAAATATTGGTTAAAATTATATGAATGGATCACAGAAAGTCTGTGATGACACCAGGCGTTCGCGAATAGGGTACCCATGTTCTGCTCTAATTGCACATGTTCATGGTGTGTTGTGAATCTAATTTTTGCGGAGATTTCTATATTTCTTTGTTTTTTGTTGTTGTATTATGATTATAGAAAGAGTTTTGTCGCTTGCATTTCCAATTCAAGATATCTTCAGTACATTACTGACAAAGAGGTTTAAAAATCAAATATACTCTGTATATCGATTTTGAAGGGATGTATGCTGATCAATGATTTTTGTTCACTCATGGACGTATCAAATATGTTTTACATTTATAAATCCAGCGTACGTTTTTTTGTGGTATTTGAAATACGTTACTGCCAATCACAGTTCAACGATAGAACAAAACAAATATATAACAGACGCATACAAAATGCTGACCACTGGGATGTGACATAACATAATATCAATGAACTTAAACAGCGTTCCACAGATATTGATTTGATACATAATCAGGCACAACCAAAAACTGATTACATGGATGTAGATTGAATAAGCAATGTACGGTGTCACAGTTTAATCAAATATGGTAACGCACCCGAGACAAGGTATTATATATAATCCTCTATTCTCCCTGGACTGTACGCAAAATTAACAACAGCGGTCACATCGCTCACTATTAGACACTTACACAATGTCCTCGTTGGAGAAATCAATGATTTTACAGGAATTGACATGACAAACCATGTCCGCTCTCTGTTCTTGCATATGTGAATTAATCACATACATAAGAGCTTTGATTGTAATTACCTGCTAGGTGTGTGTAGGTGTCACCCCCTGTCTGCCGATGGTGTCTCTGTCAATGAGAGAGGTTAATTATAACATTCGTTTCCTTCAATAATATTCCATTAGTTATTACAAGTAGTACATTTCACTTGTAGCAGAGAAAAACAAAGTTTAAAAATTTATTTTAACAGATTCCAATTTTATTGGTTTGATTTGTTTAAATGTATTTGTTTCTCTTTTATTTATTTGATGTTATGTATTGTGAGGTGAAATAAATTGACTTAATGTAGTATTTTGGGAATAGATTTTTAGATTTGTTCACCTTAACGTCGTGCTCTATCAATGATATAAACCAAATTCAATTTCGCATAAGCATGAACGTGCAGACATTCTGGTGGAAAGAACTTTTGATTTATTTTGTTTTAATTCTTATTTTCGGAAAACAAATACAATGTTTTCTGATCTATACAGTCCTTTAAATGGTCCTTAAATATTTCATAGATGCTTTAGCTCCTTTGGTTCATGAGACTTGCTATCAAATTATGAACATTTCAAGTAATGATGATCGGTTTATAGTAATCTGTTTCTTTTTTATTGTGATCTATTTGGATTTGCTTTTACGGCAAAAACTGGTAATTTAGATTATTCACGAGTTAATGAAATTATATCGTCTTCGACGATTAGACACCGGGAAAAAATAGTTTTACGAGTAGGAACAACAGAAAATGAGAAAGTATTACTATCGCTAGAGGCAAGTTCTGATTATTGTGCTTTGTTCATTCCATACAGTGGGCCATTGTAAATACTGCTATTAGTATCAAAGATTAAATGAAAATTGAAAAAGTAAGTTTTGATTAGACATTATTAATATTATACCTGTTACACAGATTTTAATCATAATAATAAAACACACAATTCTTAATTATAGAGTATTTGAAAAGTAATCTTTTTTTATGAATCACATAAAAACCCTTTATAAAAATTAATTTATCGTTATTGTGTATTATCCATACTAATTTATATATTTTTAATTTACCATTAAATTGAACAAGTAATCTTGATGACATTTTTACTTTTTAGTACCGTTTCTTTATTTCCAGACATGCCATGCATTTGACAGTCGGACAAATTCTAGCGTTTTCAGGCTTGGTGTTAATATTTTTAAACAGCCATACGATTTAGAATATGACCTTATTTACATAAACATTTCCACGTCATCTTCGGTATTAATTTAACATAATTCATATAATGCTTATTTTTTTTTCAATGCCCTATTAATACTAATTGGAAGTGATCTGAAAAAAACCACTTGAATAGTTAATGCTTCCTTTCTTTATTTTATGTTTCTGAATGAGTAGCGATTATTATTGGGATGTTGTTAATGTTAACTCAAATGATCCTTTCGACAATATTTCGTTTAGGATACCATGCCCATTCGTTTCTTAAGCTCCTTGTATCGTCACTACAGCTGTACAGTGATTCGTGTGTGCACTTGAATTTTTCACTTGTATTTTGTTTGCTCGTTTTCGTGTGACAGACACACAAAAGTGAACAGCCCTAAGTGGTTAAGGTTTTAATTATACACGGTATGTTATGTTAGGCTTGTGGTCAAAACTATTTCTTTATTAATGTAAGGTTAATTTTAAACTGCCTTGTGAACAAGAAAATTACATAACAGTAACTATATACCAAAAGTGTCTCTCATAAAGTGACAAAATGACTGCGAGCATTTGGCGTACAATTCTTCAAAGGTTTAGCATCGCAGTTATCTAGCCTTATTACATGTTGGTTTCGTCATCCGGTTTCCACATTACAAAATTTCAAATGCGTTCATCAACTATATTTAAAGGTATATTTAATATCAGTTTCATTTGTTAGCTCAACACAGCCATCAGTAATAGTCGTACGTTATCATTCAACAGAACGTGTGGTAGACTATGCGCGTCCTCGGTGAGATTAATGATTTCTCATTATTGTGTTTCTTCTTCCTCTACGAACTTAAATAAATATGTAGAGCGTAAAGGGTTTGGGTGATCCGGGCACAGTCATGTTGGATAGGCTCATCATTAGCTCAGGGCCCTTGCTCACTGTACACAGAAAGCGAATGGGACTTCTCCAAAGAAGCGCTGCCTTGTCAAACCCACCAAGAACCTTTCGGAGAATGTGTAGGCTTCCCATTCCCAACGCCTAATACCTTCTGCATTACCCTGCTTGAAGGGCCGTGTTCCTGACAACAAACCCGGGTTCTTTCCAAATGTCAGACAACAAATTGGGAGGTACCAAACCAAAGGCACCGAGAACAATGGGGAGTCGGACAACGTGGAATGCAAGCGTGACATTTCGTAAGCGAGGTCCGCGATTTGCCATGTTTTTTTCCTGAATCTTGTCAATCACATTTGTGTCAAAAGGGACAGAGAATGCAAAGATATTAATTATTTCATTGGATTTATCAAAAAGGACACGGTCAGGTTTGTTGGCCTGGATATGTCTGATGTTGTATAAGGGCCTATTCCTCAGATTTTATAAATTATCGTTATTTCCATGACGCCCTCTATATATTCTCTCTCATACCATGGATGGTCCTCTGAGTCAAAACCACAAGCAATGCGAAGACCACTCCATCATGTCGCTTAAGATATGTTGTTATTATTATGTAGGGATTAAAATAAAAAATGCAGCTAAGAGGGTTTGAGTGATCCTGGTACAGTCCCTTGCCCCCTCTACACGCAGACCAGACAGCGAATTGGACGTCTCCCAGGAAGTGCTGCCGAGTCGAACTCACCCAGAACTTCTTCTTCTTCTTCTTATTATTATTACTTCTGTTTCGTCTTCTTATACGGGTGAAGGGAAGCTAACATGTTTCTAAATTGATTCTTTTAGCTTGCTTTTGTTCTTAGTGCAGTTCGTCTGTGACATTCAATACATGTAATATATTATACAGTTTAATAGCATTATCGATCATATCAGTACTGTACTGTACTGACAACGTAGCAGTGGGTCGCTTGAAGCGATCGCTCGTCATATCCGGGTTCGATGTCCCACATAGCGACAATGTATCAAGCCCATTCGGGGTCCCCGCCATGATATTGAAAGCGGCGTAAAACCATTCTCCCTCACTGAAAGGAACAATGAAGAGGAAGATGGAGAGACAACTGGAAAAAAAACTCCCACACCAACACGTTCCATCATAGCCATACAAATACAAGCCTTGCTCTGTAAAAACATGTTATGTTATATGTTGGTATTTATAAACTAATTATATAATGTCAATACAGAAGAATAACCAGTCTATAGTACCTGCCGAAGCAGATTAAAATTTGGCGCAAAGGTCAAAATAGCTGTGAAAATGATTGAATGGGCGGGCCACTGAATATCAGTGATGACACCAGAAAGTAATTAGATGGAATCAGATGTCTGAACTTTCTACAATATTTTTTGGGCATGATTTGCTATTACTTTCTTCGCTATCTGCATGATTGCCATTTAACAAGGTACTTTGTTCAGAAATTCAATATGTTTTCTCATTTCGTGAGGCCTAGTGTTGCAGTTTGTTTCTCTTCAACCCAATACTACTGAAAGCTGTTGCAATGACATATAAAGGTTTGAACGTGCACCATTTTTATTTTCTATAGTTA